ATACCCGCGTCCAAATACAGATACTTGAGCCAGACGCAGCTCAGGAGTAAACTGTACCGTAAAAGTGCGAAGAGCGACCGACGCAGCCAGGTCACTCTTTCCCTCGATGTCCCCACCAACATAATGAACATCCTCTTCAACATTGCCAAAGCCAAGAACCTGCGCGCAAAGGCGGACGACAACGCGCGCTTGCTGGCGCAGATTGGAAAGAGAAAATGAATTCCAATTTATGTCACTAACTTGACTTTAACAGATATTTTTTGTTACCAACTGAGGCATGTTATCTCTAATTTAATAATGTAATAAAATATTTTTTTCAGTTGCATAACAAGCAATACTGAAAATGAATGGAACGTATTAACAAGTGATATTTGGGTTTTGATTTATTACCCACTAAACGCATACTGGTTTGATCTTGTTAGGAGGCTTGTCATGTTTGTCAGATTGAATGCTGTTTTACAGGAAATTATTTAAAATTGGCTCATTACCATAGTGAGACTCATGGCAATTGAAAACAAAAGTGTTTGGTTCATTTCTAAACTCAAGCTTTAAAGAGCCATAACGATTGGAGTAGGCTATGTCTCGGAGGGAAGTAGCCTACGACATCTTTTTTCCTTCCTCTCTCCCTTTTCATAAATACAATTTGTCTGTTCATCTCAGATAAAAGTTGACCTGATTAGTATTAAAAATCTCTCCACTATAAGATACACGACTGTAAAGCCGATCTGTAAAGTTCTTAGAACTCTGCGTTGATAAAACCGACAGTTGAATATTTTTGTACTGAAAATAATGATTTTATCGTTTAACCCTTGTATGGTGTTCTGGTCTGTGGGACCCGTTTTCACTTGTTATCAAAAGAAAAATGATACTATTAATTATTTTTTCAAACTCAGACTCATTGGCCTTGGCTCATTTTCTGTGAAGAACATATATCAAAACACATTTTCAATGACCACTCACTGTACACCCCCCCTACACATTTATATTACATACAGGATGTTCGGGTCCAGACCCGGGGGTAATAAAAGAGTGGACATTTTAGGTCATGTGTACCTTTATTCTGTCCTATTGTCTGGGCCTGCTATTAGTGTGTGTGTGTGTGTGCATGTTTATGTGGTTTATGAGGACACAGATTTAGTATAAAAACCATTACGCCTATGGAGAGTCCCCATAAACCATAAAAACAAACCTGTGTGTGTGTGTGTGTGTGTGTGAGTGTAAGTGTGAGTTTTGTGTTTCTGCCCCTGCCATTCCCGCACAAGGTTGTAGCACTTTAATTCATAAATGTGATCTAACAAAGGGCCAATTTTGACCATATATGCTGTTCATATTGCTTGTAATTGGGATGAAGTAAACATCTGTTGAGTATTTTAACATATATATTTTGATTGTGTTGAATTAAAAACCCCAAACTGCAGCGGGTCCACGAGACCAGAACAAAAATATGAACACCACACAAGGGTTAATAAATAAATAAATGCAAACGAAGCGTCCATTTGAAGGTAATTATTTCGAGGGAGAATTTAATTGTATTACGCCTCTTAAGATAAGAATCTACAGATATATAAACACATCACTCCTTTCCCTTTTCACAACTACATTCTAGACAGACGAGTCAATGCAATAATTATAGAGAAGTACCATTGTTTATGCTGCTAGCAAATAGTTATGAATAATACATATTTGATCACTTTTTTTCAGATAGAATCTACGTTTTGGTGAAGACTGAACCAAATTTGTAGGAGGGTTATACCGAATCATATAGGCTATGCTATGGCATCGACACCCACTGTTCAACGTTTGGTCTCTCAGAACAAATATTAAAATAAATATTATAGCCTACCTATATAGATAATTCTAAATCATTTATTGTTATATTAGAAATACATTACAAATGCATATTATAATTCGCAAATACGTAGAATTTAAAAGTTGTATATTAAATATATATGTAAATATATATATGTGGCCTATTTATTTATTTATCGTTTGGAGCGTATAGAAACAAAAAATCAACATCATCGTCATTCCGACTGTTAAGCACAGACTTTTATTTTGAAGCATGATCCTGGTGGGCGCCATGTTCCCCTGCGCCAGCTCTCAACATACGTCACACTAGTTGACGTGGAGGAGAGGAGCGTGAAGGAGTGAGATCATCTCGTTTACTGCTCTCAAACATTCCTCACAATGATCAAGAAATTTGACAAGAAGGACGAGGAGTCTGGTAAGATCAATATTAAGTACGTGCAGACACGTTATAGAATCAGCAGTTTATAAATAACATTTCAGTGGCCGAAATGATGTCGGCTGTGTTGCAAAGGAAGAGCGTCTGCAGGCCACAGCACAACATCTGTAATTGGAATTGGAAATATAAGTTATTTAACACTTAAAATGAATGTGCATGTTCCAGTTTTATACTTAATTCTGTCTAAGAGCCACGGTTTAACCAGTAGTAACTGTGATTTTGCAGTATCCTGTAGTATGTTTATTTAATCTTTAGGAAGCTAATGTGCTAGCAGTTCCCTTTATTAATGTACAATACAAATGTCAACAATGAAAATCCTATATTTGCTTCGTGGATAAGCTTTGTATTTTAGACATTTAAAGGCAATTTCCTATTGAGGTTGATTTAATTTGGATAAATGACTGCAAAGGGGCTACATAGATGCTATTCTCTTCTGGCTATTAGTGTGTGTGTGTGTGTGCATGTTTATGTGGTTTATGAGGACACAGATTTAGTATAAAAACCATTACGCCTATGGAGAGTCCCCATAAACCATAAAAACAAACCTGTGTGTGTGTGTGTGTGTGTGTGAGTGTAAGTGTGAGTTTTGTGTTTCTGCCCCTGCCATTCCCGCACAAGGTTGTAGCACTTTAATTCATAAATATGATCTAACAAAGGGCCAATTTTGACCATATATGCTGTTCATATTGCTTGTAATTGGGATGAAGTAAACATCTGTTGAGTATTTTAACATATATATTTTGATTGTGTTGAATTAAAAACCCCAAACTGCAGCGGGTCCACGAGACCAGAACAAAAATATGAACACCACACAAGGGTTAATAAATAAATAAATGCAAACGAAGCGTCCATTTGAAGGTAATTATTTCGAGGGAGAATTTAATTGTATTACGCCTCTTAAGATAAGAATCTACAGATATATAAACACATCACTCCTTTCCCTTTTCACAACTACATTCTAGACAGACGAGTCAATGCAATAATTATAGAGAAGTACCATTGTTTATGCTGCTAGCAAATAGTTATGAATAATACATATTTGATCACTTTTTTTCAGATAGAATCTACGTTTTGGTGAAGACTGAACCAAATTTGTAGGAGGGTTATACCGAATCATATAGGCTATGCTATGGCATCGACACCCACTGTTCAACGTTTGGTCTCTCAGAACAAATATTAAAATAAATATTATAGCCTACCTATATAGATAATTCTAAATCATTTATTGTTATATTAGAAATACATTACAAATGCATATTATAATTCGCAAATACGTAGAATTTAAAAGTTGTATATTAAATATATATGTAAATATATATATGTGGCCTATTTATTTATTTATCGTTTGGAGCGTATAGAAACAAAAAATCAACATCATCGTCATTCCGACTGTTAAGCACAGACTTTTATTTTGAAGCATGATCCTGGTGGGCGCCATGTTCCCCTGCGCCAGCTCTCAACATACGTCACACTAGTTGACGTGGAGGAGAGGAGCGTGAAGGAGTGAGATCATCTCGTTTACTGCTCTCAAACATTCCTCACAATGATCAAGAAATTTGACAAGAAGGACGAGGAGTCTGGTAAGATCAATATTAAGTACGTGCAGACACGTTATAGAATCAGCAGTTTATAAATAACATTTCAGTGGCCGAAATGATGTCGGCTGTGTTGCAAAGGAAGAGCGTCTGCAGGCCACAGCACAACATCTGTAATTGGAATTGGAAATATAAGTTATTTAACACTTAAAATGAATGTGCATGTTCCAGTTTTATACTTAATTCTGTCTAAGAGCCACGGTTTAACCAGTAGTAACTGTGATTTTGCAGTATCCTGTAGTATGTTTATTTAATCTTTAGGAAGCTAATGTGCTAGCAGTTCCCTTTATTAATGTACAATACAAATGTCAACAATGAAAATCCTATATTTGCTTCGTGGATAAGCTTTGTATTTTAGACATTTAAAGGCAATTTCCTATTGAGGTTGATTTAATTTGGATAAATGACTGCAAAGGGGCTACATAGATGCTATTCTCTTCTGTCATAACAACTTCACCTATAATGCACTTAATCTATAATCTTCCAACCGTTCAGATTGAGAAGATCTAACTCTTTGGTTTTAGTTTACTTTGCATATAGGATTTACATTTCATATGTGTGACTAATATTGCTGTTTTGAAGTGAAATCAGACGAAGAGTCACATTCAAGATGCTATTTGTCCTTTTATAACTTATTCTATGTGCACTTTTCTAAAAGAAATGGCATCTTATGATTTTATTAGGCCTGTCACGATAACAACTTTTTGTTGTGCGATATATTGCCCCAGAAATAATTGCGGTAAGCGATATTATTGTCATTTTAAAGACCATTTTATGCCACTGAATATATAATCATAATGTAACAGCATAATAATGCAAGAAGGCCAACACACTTCCAAATGACAACAAACTTTACATTTTTAAGAATATTTAGATCATGGAAATTAAGTATCAAAATATTATATACCTTAAAAATTTTTTGAATAAATGGTAAATAAACATTTTCTAACAAAAAGTGCAAAGTAACAAGTAGAAAAAAAAAGAAAAGTGCACAAAGAACTTGTATGGAGATTTTTCCATCTACAGATTTTTCCCTGACCTTCTTTTCTCTGTAAATGAAGGGTGCACGCTATTGCTGAAAAACACAATCACTACGTAGGAGTCAGATGTATGCACAAAGACACAGATCCCTAAACAAGGCCATATCTGCAGATGAAACTTTTTTTGTAGAAGCATTTTTAAAATTTGAACTAGCACCTCATGACTACACCACGTTATGTACGAGAAGCTGCAAAAGACACAAGCGCAAGTGGAATGTAAAAAAACACGGTGAAATTAATTTTTAAGTAAATATAATGGGCGATATATTGCGTCACCAAAAATTATTGAGGTCATATGCGTATATTGCGCGATAAGTCGATATATTGATTATTGCGACAGGCCTAGATTTTATATATTGTTTTTGAATGAAGACAAGACATAGATTTAGATGATTGACAGCTTTGTTTTGATGTTTTTAGGAAGTGGCTCAAACCCCTTTCAGCATCTGGAGAAGAGTGCTGTACTACAGGAGGTGAGTTTGATACATCCGAATCTTAAAATTAGGTAAAACGTCTGTTTAGTACTGTATATTACATTGCATGTTTGTTTCAAAGGCTCGGATTTTCAACGAGACACCCATCAATCCGAGAAGATGTCTGCATATCCTCACGAAGATCATCTACCTGCTCAACCAGGTGCATTATTATATGTTACTTAACAAGCAGTTTTCTACTACAGTTTCTCTTTTTTGCTCTCTATAGACTGATCCATCATTAACCTCTTTTATTATTCAGGGTGAGCACTTTGGAACCACAGAGGCCACTGAAGCTTTCTTTGCCATGACAAGGCTGTTCCAGTCTAATGATGTAAGAAACTCTACAGCCATATTAACTGTTTGTTTTAATGACAAAACCTATATCTAGAGATGGTATGGCCAATGGATGCATATTGCATAATGTGTAATATAATATTATTAATTAATGACAGCAACAAAATTATACACAATAATTTTCACACATAATTTGCCAAAGCATGCAGTAAGACAATACAAATCTGGCTGATATATCTATCTTTATTACTTCCAGGGTTATTGTTAAAAATAATAATAATTCAGAGTTTCTATTAAAGAATTATTTATTTGGAATGAAACTGAAATGAAATATATACAATTGTACATATTTAAAAATATTCTATATATTATAATGAAAATTAAAACTGTTGCTTTGGCAACAAACTGAAATAACTAAGTCAAATGACTATAAATACTAACTGGAGGGGATACAACTGAAAAAATAATACATTAACCATAGTTACAAAAAAAATAAAAATAATGACAATAACACATAAGAAAATGACTAAAAATTAAAATAAAATGGATGAAATATACAAGGAAATGAACAAATCAAAGCTAATTCAAAATATTTATAAAAACTGTAATGGTAAGTAACAATAAATGATATGAGAATAACACTAATCACTACTTACTATTTTAGTTATTCAATTGACAATGAATCATTTATTGCAGATAATGTGTGTTTCCCGCTATTAGCTGAAGTTTTGAATTTAAATTCAGAATAAGATATATTTATATGTAATAATTTCAAATTTTTGCCTCTTGTTTTAGCAAACTCTGAGAAGAATGTGCTACCTGACTATAAAGGAGATGGCCAACATCTCAGAGGATGTGATCATTGTTACAAGCAGGTGAGCAGTTCATGTTACCATAGCAGTGTACTTCTTATTTGCCGAGATATTTGCAACAATATACCTTTTCTAATATGTAAAGTATAAAAACATGTTGTTTGATGAGGAATGGAAATCTTTGCACACGCTGCCAATATTACCTTATGAAGAACGCTGATTAATGTTTTGTTTGTGTCTCAGCTTGACAAAAGACATGACTGGTAAAGAGGATGTTTACAGAGGACCGGCAATCAGAGCACTCTGCAGGATCACTGATGTGAGTCTCAACTGTTTGCAAACTCATTTATCTCTGTGTATAGGAGACTTAATTTGCTAGCAGTGAGAAACAAACTATATATAAACTGATGGGACTGATATAAATGATCCTTCCAACTGTGCTTCATCCATCTCGTCCATCAGACCACCATGCTGCAGGCGATTGAACGATACATGAAACAGGCCATCGTGGACAAAGTGCCCAGCGTCTCCAGCTCTGCTCTGGTCTCCTCACTGGTAAGATCACAACCTAGTGTTATTTTTGTAATATATATACATCTCCACCCCCATCTGTTATTATTAATTCAAACTAGTCAGTTTACCACTTAACTGTTTATTACACTGATTCCCACTCCTAACGTTATGGTTCTGGATAATGTAGCTGTGCTTGTGTATTTGTTCTTCAGCACATGGTGAAGATGAGCTTTGATGTGGTAAAACGCTGGGTCAATGAAGCTCAGGAGGCGGCTTCAAGTGACAACATCATGGTGCAGGTTAGTGAGATGTTTGCAACCATTGTCTTATGAGTTGGTGGTCTGTCCGTCTCTAATAAAATGGGATCTCTCTCCACAGTACCATGCTCTGGGTCTTCTGTACCACCTGAGGAAGAATGACCGTCTGGCTGTGACTAAGATGCTTAACAAATTCACCAAATCTGGCCTCAAATCCCCATTTGCTTACTGCATGATGATTCGCATTGCCAGTAAGCTGCTGGAGGAGACAGAAGGAGGGTACGTGTGTTGGACATCAGCTTTTCCGGGTTAATCAATGTTATGCAGTTGCGTATAATGTAAACTTACCTAGTCGGTATACATGTGGTTTAACAGGCACGATAGCCCGCTGTTTGACTTCATTGAGAGCTGCTTGAGGAATAAACATGAGATGGTAGTTTATGAAGCAGCCTCCGCCATTGTCCACATGCCCAATTGTACCGCTCGTGAGCTGGCTCCTGCTGTGTCTGGTTAGTGTTTCTTCTTTGCTTTCTTATCAACACACACAATAGAGTACACTAGATGTTCAAATTAATTTTGCCTTTCTCTCTCTTTCCATAGTTCTCCAGCTGTTTTGCAGCTCTCCCAAAGCAGCCCTGCGTTATGCAGCTGTACGGACCCTTAATAAGGTTGGTTTGAATAGGATTTCTTTTGTAACTAGTTGCAGTATCACCAGCTACCACATGGAGACACCAAAAAAATAATTATTTAGGTTTAAAGTCATGCTTTCAACAAATAGTGCAAAAACTACATTCTAAAATTCTGAAGAGGTGATATAACCACAAAAAAAAAATGTTTTCCCTTGTTCACACAGGTGGCAATGAAGCACCCGTCAGCGGTGACCGCATGCAACCTGGACCTGGAGAACCTGATCACTGACTCCAACCGCAGCATCGCCACCCTGGCCATCACCACCCTGCTGAAGACCGGCAGCGAGAGCAGTGTGGACCGCCTCATGAAGCAGATCTCTTCCTTCGTCTCTGAGATCTCAGACGAGTTCAAGGTGACTTCATGACCCAGACAGTGAATTTCAACAAAATTAGACCACAATCGCATGCTTCAGATGCATATTCAATCATGTTTCAGGAGTTAGATTAGTTTTACCTGTGATAATTTTCCTGTAAACTGTGTTTTCATAACCAAATGGTGTGTTTGTTTTCCAGGTGGTTGTGGTCCAGGCCATCAGTGCCCTGTGCCAGAAGTATCCCAGAAAGCACAGCGTGATGATGAACTTCCTTTCAAACATGTTGAGAGATGATGTAAGTTCATTCAAGGACATTCTCTGTTGTTACACTAAACCACACAACCGTATTTATACTTGATACCCTTAACAACTGGTTTACTTCTGATCTGTATTAGAATTTTTATCGCTGAAAAAGCATTGACTTTTTCTATTAGACATGTTTCATTTTTTTCCCCATTTTGTAGGGTGGCTTTGAATACAAGAGAGCCATTGTGGATTGTATCATCAGTATCATAGAGGAAAACCCAGAGAGTAAGGAAACAGGCTTGGCCCACCTGTGTGAGTTTATCGAGGATTGCGAGCACACCGTACTTGCCACTAAAATCCTCCACCTGCTGGGGAAAGAGGGCCCACGTACCCCCACCCCCTCCAAATACATCCGTTTCATCTTCAACCGTGTGGTGCTGGAGAGCGAGGCAGTGCGGGCAGGTGAGTAATCTTGCGTGACCTAGGGGTGTGCGATATATATCATCTGCAATAATATCTTAATTGTTGTTTTAACGATGTGTGATTTGACATTATCGAATATTTTGCAAAAACCTTTCAAAACACCCCTACAGAGGGCACGCATACATTACGTGAAGTCTAGACTAGTGCGCATACGCATTTAGAGTGTGTTCTTTCACTGCATGATTCAGTCTATTACAATACATTTAGAATGATCACAAATTCAAAACACAGGTACAGAAAATGTATATATTATTTATATAATTTCATATAGTTAATCAATATCAAACAAAGAGTGCCATTTTTTTCTCCAAAAATTACAATGATTACAAATGTGCTATTGATTTTTTTTTTTTTACAACAGTTCAATAAACTAAGTTAATTGAGAGACATATTAGACACCATATTTCCTGTTTTTGTGCTATTTCGATGACAAAAATAATTCCAAACAGCCACAGCTGTTTTGCGTCTCTGAGCAACATGGCGATGTTTCGTTCCTGAATGAATCAAACGTCTAAATGATTTGGTTCAAATGCAATGACTCACTTATTAACAGTGACTTTCTGCCCCCTACTGGCGGTTTTAATTCCACATTCAAAGTATCTTTTATTTAAATAATTTCGAACGTTTTGTTTAATATATCAAAATATTATTTATGCATTTGTAATTGCAGGTTAAATGCATTCATGTTCAAAGATGGATTTTGGTGATACTGATTTCATTTGCTTGGTAAAAGCCCAAATGTCTTATTATGCTAATTCACTGATTAAATGTAAGAATTTGACTCAAAAGATAATGGACACTTTTAGAAAAAAATGGCTTTATAAAGGTAAAAATGCCCATAAACTGTAAAAATCAGTTTAAACTTAATGGAAAAGATAGATTTCTATCAGTGTGACTGTGAACTGACCACCACACATATTATGAAGAATATCAAAAACTTTAGGAGTCAGCTGTCTACGGCAGTCCTTAAGATATCAGCACAATAACACACTCAGCAAAATATAGTCTAATTATCTTTATCGATAAAATCCCAGAAAATATCAAGATATAGTTTTTTTGTCAATGTCGCACACCCCTAGCGTGACCTTTGACCTATGCGTTAACCTCCTTGTAATGAGTTTAAAGACCTGCTTGTGCCATCGTAAGATTTCAGGAAGCTTGTGTTTGCAATACAGTAGTACATATGTTTTTTGAGCGTCACACACGTGTCCCAATAATTAACTGCAGTCCGACTGCAAGTAGTTGTAAATTTAAGCAGGGCTGATAATCTGTAATTAATCTGATTCCAGAGACTAAACTGAGCAGCTTTAGGACATTTAAGCATTCTTCTGCTATGACTCTCCTCTCACGTTTTTCTTCAAAGCTGCTGTAAGTGCACTGGCCAAGTTTGGAGCTCAAAACGATGACCTGCTGCCAAGCGTTTTGGTTCTGATGAAGAGGTAGGCCTTCAGCAGCAGGAGGTTTGTGTGTGTGTGTGTGTGTGTCGGGGGGGGGGGGGGGGGTTTTTTTTTGTGTTTTAAAAAAACAAACAAACTGCAAAGTATGAAGCCCCGCATATGTCATATGGGGGTGTGTGGGGGGGGGGGGGGGGGGGGGGGGGGGGGGATTATATTGGTAATTTGAGTATTAGAGTAAGAAAATGAACAAAGAAATTTGTGTTTGGAAATGAATGTGAATGTTTGTTAAAATAAAAAAAAAGAGAGAAAGTATTTATGTGATTGGATTAAAAACGATGCAAAACTGAAAGTAGTATTATTTTTGTACTAAAAAGAGAAAATCCTCTTATTTAATTAGATTAAAATACGATGCAAAATGAAAAATAAAATAGTAAATAGAAACTCCCCAACTATTTTATTAACGATGCAAAACTGAAAATAATGTTTCTCTCTCTCTCTCTCTCTCTCTCTCTCTATATATATATATATATATATGTATACTAAAAAGAGATTTTAAAATGTATTTAAATAATTGATTTGATTGGATTAAAAACAATTATGCATAGAGAGTAAAAAAAAAAAAAACTTTTTTTCCCAAAAAGTGAAAATTCTTGTTTATTTGGTTAGATTAAATTGGTTTCAAATATGGAAAATAAAATAGTATATATTTTATTTTTTTAAGTTACCTTTTATAATTTTTTTAAAACCACTTTTCTATTAAAATATCTAATATCTACCAGAATGTATGCATATTGTCATAATAATGTTGCTTATTGCCCATTTCTAGAGGGAAATGTTTTAAGGTGCTAATTTACTGTGTGTGCCTGACAGGTGTATGATGGACAGTGATGATGAGGTGAGAGACAGAGCCACATTCTACATGAATGTCCTTCAGCAAAAGCAGAAGGCCTTAAATGCCGCTTACATCTTTAATGGTGAGGGTTTGTGTTTAAGTGTTGGTTTCTTGTATCTGATATTGTATTTAATCTGATTTAGCTGATGTGAGTGAACAAAGGTTGTTGAATGGTTTGTTTGCAGGTCTGTCCGTATCTGTTCCCGGACTGGAGAAATCCCTTCACCAGTACACACTGGAGCCCTCTGAGAAACCATTTGACATGAAGACCGTTCCCTTGGCCACCGCACCCATCACCGAACAGAAAACAGGTGTGAACCTGAGCTTCAGCAGGCCAATAACTTCATTGCTCATCATAATCTATTGCAGAATAGTTTCATAATAACATATGCTCAAAAATTTTTTTAATTTACATTCTACCATTGTTTGGCCTCTAATTTGGATGCTAATCATCTTATGTCTTATCTTGGTTTGGTGTAAATCGCAGAGCTTAACCAAAACTGCTCAAATTGCACAAGTTCACTTCATTTTTCTCTTTCATGCCAGAAATCACACCTGTGGCAACAAGCAAACTACCTGAAAAGCTTGCACCTTCCCGCCAAGACATTTACCAAGGTGAGAAGATTAGCTAATTAGCAAAACAATGCATGTGGGCACTGTTAAACTAGAGTCTGAAGTAAACTGTGCCACATTTCAACTAGTCCCCTTATTTTTCTCCATCAGAGCAACTTGCAGCCATCCCAGAATTCCAGGGCCTGGGTCTCCTGTTCAAGTCGTCCGAGCCGGTTCAGTTAACAGAAGCAGAGACGGAGTATGTGGTGCGCTGTATCAAACACACTTTCGCAAATCACATGATCTTCCAGTTCGACTGCACCAACACGCTAAATGACCAGCTGCTGCAGCGGGTTTTGGTCCAGATGGAGCCGTCTTTTTTTCTACACAAAACCGGAGACAATTCATACAAAGATCTTTTTATTTGAATAAAAGCATTCATGCTTAGAACACAAACATATTTACAAGTTTGCGTTGCATTGTATTTGAGCAAACTCTTATTGACTGTTGTAATGACTTTGGTGCAATACTTTCAGTTTCATGCATTTAAACACATGACTGACATTTCACATACTCTGCGGTTTGGTAATAAACAGATTGCAATATTTTCTAATGACTTATTTGAGGCAATATTCCTCTCATTACTCATCTCAGAATGAGTTGATAAAGCTGAGGTAGGCATTAAAGAAGCCTGTGGGATCCTCCAGCTGTGGATAATGACTCACATGCTCATCTAGAACTGATAGTGTGGATCTCTGCACTAGTTTCCTGTAAATGAGGAAAAGAGACCAGGAAAAGTGGTTAAAATATTTCCAGTGTTCTAGTTTCCAGATTATCTACAGCAATAGCTTGTTCTGTCTTTGCCACATCTTAGCTGTGTCATCTTTATTTATATGATTAGTTCCAACTTGAAATCACCAGTTTTACTTATAAAGGACAAACCCTTTTAAAGGCACAGGTAGTGCAGTGCTTCCCAACCCTGCTCCCAACAGTGGACATTTTTAAACTCTTCCTAATCAAACACACCTGATTCAAATCATCAGTTCGTTAGTAGAGACTCCAAGACCTTGGGGGTTAGGAGAGGTAGTGGGTAATTACTGTGCTTTTAACTCAAAAGGATTCAGTTCATGAGGAGCTAGATTAGAGTCTTGAGTTCATTTAAAATTTTATATAAAACGAAGCACTCCATTCAAAACTAATCCACAATACTCAAACTGTTTCAGTGGCTCAGGAGATAAAGTGTTGTGTTTTTATCTCGGAGACTTTAAATTGCTGTCAGTACATACAAGAAACCATCCCAGACTGCCACACTTAACATGAAAGCCGTGATGGTGCAGTGGCTAAACATGTCGATTGTGGACAAGGCTGCAATGGAGGCTTGGGTTCAAATTCCACCTCAGTGTGTCGGGATCAAAATCAACCAACAAAAAGACTCTGAGGAAATGTCAATGATATGAGGTGTGAAGATTCCACCACACTGGCCTGCTCGAAGATGGAGTAACGGTGCAGTCGCTGGATTTTGTTAAGTAGAATTAATTACTCAAATTACGGATAATAAAAAACATTATTATATAAAAAACAGTAGTTGTGACCAGAGCCGATCCTGTACGGGGTGTACGAGAAATTAATGAATGAAACGCATTTGTCCGTGTTTCACTCAGTCTCAAATCGCGCTCACGGAAAGTGCTTGAGAAACAGTGTCTCTTCCATGGCTCGGTATGCTTTCCACTCTTTTTTTTTTGTCTCGAGCAAGAGACTGTATGACATTGACGTTACACGATTTAACTGATTTTTATGTAGAAAGGGCGACAGCGAACCTTTTTTTCATAACCTTTCGGTTTTCATAACCACTGGCCAAATTAAAAAACGAAACTAAAATTAAATCATCTTTGAGAGCAAGGGGGCCCCCTGGTGTTTCGGGGGCCCTACGCAGCTTGCGTACTTTGCATATAGGGAGGATCGGCTCTGGTTGTGACTCATGTCTTTTATCTCACCGGTTTGTCTGAAAAACCAAAGCCAAGGAAGTCGAGGGCGATGACTCTGTTAAAACGTTGAGTCAGAGAATCCCAGATCTTCAAAACAACAGAATGAGATTCAAGAAACACCACAGAGTCCAGTCACTGTCTGTAAATTGCTCTCAGTTTATTGCTGTTTTATTTAACTGTTAATGCAGTTTTACACCACAAAACGACTTACCTTATACCAGTCATAGCTTGAAGTAGGAAAACCATGAAGCAGCAAGAGGACATCGGAGCTTCCCACGACACCTACTGACTCTATTGACAAACGGAATACAGTATATTATTATATCATATATATATGTGTGTGTGTGTGTGTGTGTGTGTGTGTGACCCTGGACCTAAAAAACAGCCTTAAGTAGCACGGGTATATTTGTAGCAATAGCCATTGTATGGGTCAAAATTATTGATTTTTCTTTCATGCCAAAAATCATTAGGATATTAAGTAAAGATCATGTGATCATGTGATATTTTGTAAATTTCCTACCGTAAATATATCAAATCTTAATTTTTGATTAGTAATATGCAATGCTAAGAACTTCATTTTGTGCACCCTCAAATTCTACATTTTCAAATATTTGTATCTCAGCCAAATATTGTCCTATCCTAACAAACCATAAAACAATGCAAAATTTATTTATTCAGAAATTGAAAAAGAAAATTGATCCTTATGACGGGTTTTGTGGTGCGTGTATATATACGGGATGGAAATGAGAAAGATAGTCAATCTGTAAACAACGCTTTTGTTATATACCTTTATAGAAGATGTTATTGCCTCTGAATGTGAAGAAGTGACCGGAAGAGTGCCAGGTGTTGAGCGCAGGTGAGAGCTGTGGCGGAGGGATATGCAGATACACGGCGAGCAGAGGAATGCACAACAGACCCACGTGAAGCCACCACTCCCTGCTGACACGACGGGCATATCCGCACTCACTTTCATTCTGCAGCAGACAAGGTAGGTTTAAATTGTATTGTAATAACATAGTAAATTGGTATTTTCATTGCTGGAGAGAGAGAGGTAGAGAAGAGCGCTTGTCAAAGGAAGTACAACATCATAACGCGAATTAAACTGGCAGGGCAGCCTTGCTATGATAGTAAAATTCAAACTGTAAGCAAAATAACAACTGCCATATAATGCGTGCTGGTCAAGAGAAACGCACTTAATGCGTAAAGTTACTTACAGGTGAGTCGTCGGACATTCTCGGTTCCTGCGCTTTATCACAGCGTGTGTCGGTTGTTTTCGCGGATGGGCTGAAATATGTGCTGTTGAGTGACATTAAGAGTCTGTCACTGAGCTGTCATCTGCACAATCCGTACTTGCATGGCCTTAAAACGTTCTGTTGCGACTGTTATCGAGCGTCGTGTTGCCAAGGATCCAAAGGTCTAGGGCTTAAAGTAATGCTCGCTTACGCCCCTAGTGGAGCGGATGGTAAACAGCAATAATATCTACCAGAGGAACCGTGTTTGTTTGACCGCTGCATCCAAAACGTCTAGCTTGCTGAAACATTCGTATACTCAAGCGAAAGTCCATATATATTCATTTAAATGTAGGGCACATTAGGATATTAAGTAAAGATCATGTTCCATGAAGATATTTTGTAAATTTCCTACCGTAAATATATCAAATCTTAATTTTTGATTAGTAATATGCAATGCTAAGAACTTCATTTTGTGCACCCTCAAATTCTACATTTTCAAATATTTGTATCTCAGCCAAATATTGTCCTATCCTAACAAACCATAAAACAATGCAAAATTTATTTATTCAGAAATTGAAAAAGAAAATTGATCCTTATGACGGGTTTTGTGGTGCGTGTATATATACGGGATGGAAATGAGAAAGATAGTCAATCTGTAAACAACGCTTTTGTTATATACCTTTATAGAAGATGTTATTGCCTCTGAATGTGAAGAAGTGACCGGAAGAGTGCCAGGTGTTGAGCGCAGGTGAGAGCTGTGGCGGAGGGATATGCAGATACACGGCGAGCAGAGGAATGCACAACAGACCCACGTGAAGCCACCACTCCCTGCTGACACGACGGGCATATCCGCACTCACTTTCATTCTGCAGCAGACAAGGTAGGTTTAAATTGTATTGTAATAACATAGTAAATTGGTATTTTCATTGCTGGAGAGAGAGAGGTAGAGAAGAGCGCTTGTCAAAGGAAGTACAACATCATAACGCGAATTAAACTGGCAGGGCAGCCTTGCTATGATAGTAAAATTCAAACTGTAAGCAAAATAACAACTGCCATATAATGCGTGCTGGTCAAGAGAAACGCACTTAATGCGTAAAGTTACTTACAGGTGAGTCGTCGGACATTCTCGGTTCCTGCGCTTTATCACAGCGTGTGTCGGTTGTTTTCGCGGATGGGCTGAAATATGTGCTGTTGAGTGACATTAAGAGTCTGTCACTGAGCTGTCATCTGCACAATCCGTACTTGCATGGCCTTAAAACGTTCTGTTGCGACTGTTATCGAGCGTCGTGTTGCCAAGGATCCAAAGGTCTAGGGCTTAAAGTAATGCTCGCTTACGCCCCTAGTGGAGCGGATGGTAAACAGCAATAATATCTACCAGAGGAACCGTGTTTGTTTGACCGCTGCATCCAAAACGTCTAGCTTGCTGAAACATTCGTATACTCAAGCGAAAGTCCATATATATTCATTTAAATGTAGGGCAAGTGAAAAAAAACCCTTTTTGGTCAGTAAGTTTATCACAGTAAGTTACGTGAAACGCCAAACTCGATCTGGACAGTGGCATGTGTGAGAGGACATATATTTCACTTTTTAGAGTTTTTTAATATCAAGCTATTATTTTTAATATAAATTATTCTTATTCTTATTAATTAATTTATTTTAGCCGAGCAGATCAACATGGAATCTACCAGGGGGCGGTTTCATAAAACAACGTTACCAAACAAGCCAGGCTTATTTCAGCTATTCTGACTAATTTAGTCATACTAACTGAAAAAAAAACCCTGGCTTATTTGATAAACTTGTTTTATGAAACAGGCCCCAGGTCTACTTGAGATCACAGTTCTCAGCTAATGGGGGCAATACAATATAATACCTGATGTGTTGTCATAAACACAAATAGTATGGGACAAAACTCTTCCAAAACTCTTTGAATGGTTTGTTTATGAGTGAGGTAGCCTAGATGTTTATGTTTTTAAAATGATTTTTAAAACATTATTCACAGTTGTTTTTGTCTTGTTGTGTTGGTGTTTGCAGATTCAGTCAGCAGTTATAGTAAAGCTTGGTTGGATGTTTGTAATCCATGACAGAAGGATTAAGATTATTAAAGCCTGTATCAAAATGACTTCTGATATTCGGTAAGACATGCTCCTGGATCAAATTGTTTTGTTGGAGAAAAAAAAAAAAAATTTTTGTTTGGACATTTTGGCCTTTCTGAAACGCGGAAATGTTACGCCTCTACCATACTGTGATGCCGTGTCCGGCCGGAGCGACGAGACAAAAACATTCAAACCCATTATAAACGAGGCATTTGTTGCATCCAGTGGGAACATAATTACGGATAATAATGACTTATACTGTCTTTTTACGCGTTGCATAGCAATGCAATGCAAATGCATGTCTGCATTTGTGATTGGAGAAATGACAAACAACAAGCGCTACTCTACATTGCTCAAAACTCGTGTTTGAATCGTCAGTGGCAAATTCTTTAAATATAAAAAACTTACTTACAGTCTGTGAGTCAGAACAGCCGGCATTGTAGTCTACTCTACCAGATCAGGAAACAGTCCTCCATATAATGTGCTGCACAC